CTAATCTCAGAAATTTTGACAATCATCATAGCCTAAAAGTAAAAAAGTCACCAACTAAAACTCATGACATAACAATATTTTCATTAATAACCCACAGTAGTAGCCATCCAATACAATGTAGATACATTGTAGGTTGCTTACATACAGTTTTTTTAGTTGTCATGTATATGGTGACTAATAAAGTTCCTGCAAACACAAGTTCAATGTAAAATTAGTATTCTACAATCATCACATAATGTTGGTAGCCACTGCCAAATATTTTTCATAGGCCTTTTATGACTTGAAATGACAATAAATACAAATAATCATGATACACACCATAGCTTAATTCATATTTCCAAAGTTAGGATTGTGTCACGATACACACCATAGCATTTAAATAATTCTAAATCATGCAAAAATCATGCAAAAATCAGAAAGGCAGTGAAAAAGAACCAAAGCGAATAACACGGTGAAATTATACCTACAATTGCCGAAATTCAACAAATCAAGCAAAAATCCGACAAAATACCCTCAGAAAGGCAGTGATTTCCCCAAATCCGACGAAAATTCGACGGAAAGGCGGTGATTTCCCCAAATCCGACGAAAATTCGACGAAATCACAAAATACCACACACACCCATATTATGAATCTCAGAACTTAACATTGTAGGTTGCTAGAAACACCAACCAACAATACCTCAATAAACACCAAAAATGATCATAATAACCCCTTCTCAGTCAAAATCCGACGAATTTCATATCTCAACATCAAACTGAAAATGATCACAATAAATGTCTCCTTAGTCAAGCCAAGTCAGTTCATCATCACCCTAACCACAAATGATCACAATAACCTCTTCTTCCTCCTCTAATCCAACACAATTCATCACCACCCTAACCACAAAATCATAAATTTAAAGAAAATGTGTAGAGTTTAGGAACTCACCGAGCAATTAACAGCGACAAAGAAGCCGACGATGAAGGCGAAAGACGAAGACGGCGGAAAACCCTAGCCGACGAAAAAGCCGACGAAAAAAGGCCGCGGGGGATTTCTGGCGGGGAGGAGAGGTAACCCTAGCATCCCAAAAAAAAAATCAACCAGAAAAAGGAGAGAGCGATTGTTAGAGCTGGCAGTGTTTTCATCGATTTCTCTTCGGTGAGGAAGGAAATCGCGGAGAGGAAAAAAGGCTGATGTGGCGGTGTTTTCACCATCGTTTAAATGTATAAAGTAAATGTATAATTCAAGCGCGAGTATATGCAAATTACGGCTTAGGGCTCAGAACTTTGTCAATATCATCATTGTTAGCCATCTAGTGCAATATCAATTGCAGGTTGCTAATCTCAGAAATTTTGACAATCATCATAGCCTAAAAGTAAAAAAGTCACCAACTAAAACTCATGACATAACAATATTTTCATTAATAACCCACAGTAGTAGCCATCCAATACAATGTAGATACATTGTAGGTTGCTTACATACAGTTTTTTTAGTTGTCATGTATATGGTGACTAATAAAGTTCCTGCAAACACAAGTTCAATGTAAAATTAGTATTCTACAATCATCACATAATGTTGGTAGCCACTGCCAAATATTTTTCATAGGCCTTTTATGACTTGAAATGACAATAAATACAAATAATCTCAGAAAGGCAGTGATTTCCCCAAATCCGACGAAAATTCGACGAAATCACAAAATACCACACACACCCATATTATGAATCTCAGAACTTAACATTGTAGGTTGCTAGAAACACCAACCAACAATACCTCAATAAACACCAAAAATGATCATAATAACCCCTTCTCAGTCAAAATCCGACGAATTTCATATCTCAACATCAAACTGAAAATGATCACAATAAATGTCTCCTTAGTCAAGCCAAGTCAGTTCATCATCACCCTAACCACAAATGATCACAATAACCTCTTCTTCCTCCTCTAATCCAACACAATTCATCATCACCCTAACCACAAAATCATAAATTTAAAGAAAATGTGTAGAGTTTAGGAACTCACCGAGCAATTAACAGCGACAAAGAAGCCGACGATGAAGGCGAAAGACGAAGACGGCGAAAAACCCTAGCCGACGAAAAAGCCGACGAAAAAAGGCCGCGGGGGATTTCTGGCGGGGAGGAGAGGTAACCCTAGCATCCCAAAAAAAAAATCAACCAGAAAAAGGAGAGAGCGATTGTCAGAGCTGGCAGTGTTTTCATCGATTTCTCTTCGGTGAGGAAGGAAATCGCGGAGAGGAAAAAAGGCTGATGTGGCGGTGTTTTCACCATCGTTTCCCCCTTTCAACCCTAACGAACCAAAGCGAGGAAAAGAAATTGACGGAAACAAAAAAGCTGAGGTGGAGGTGGTGTCAGGCTTAGAAATGGATTTCCAGGGGGGTTTTAAGCGAACCAAACAGGCCCTTAGAAAGAGATCTAGTTGGATGAGGGAGTCTCTATTCTTTTGAGAACTAAAAAAATCTTTATCTTGAAGGAAGTTTTCTAATAAGCCCTAATACTAAGGGTGGTTTTTATGATTTTTTGAAAGTTGTAGGGTTTATTTAAGAACATGTTTGGCATGTGGTCAAAGGGACTCATAAGCTATTTTTGTGACTTATAAGCCACTTTGATATATTTGGCAAATAACTTAGTTTGACTTATAAGCGAGTAAAAAATAAGTTGGCCATCTTTGCTTAATTTTTAGTAGTTTATAAGCCAAAAAGTTTTGACTATGTAAAAGACAATTATACCCTTCATCATTCCCAAAAATTATAAGCCCTAAATCTTCAATTTTGTTGACTATTTTTTGGTCATTTTGACAGCACGTTTACTTACATACCTCTACGTTTATCTTCTAGGAAAAAGTGTCTTCTGATATTAGTGCCTTACATCTTTCATATTTTGAGATTAGTCCATCGAATCATGGAAATTGTCACTATGTCCCTCAAATCTTAAGTTATTTGACCGTTGAAATAGCTATTTGGCCCCTCAAATTTTAAGTTATTTTAAAAGTAGTCTCTTTAATCAAGTAAAAAAATAGCAAATAGAGACAAATTAGACACTGATAATCATTGAAATTGCTATTAGATTCCCAAAGTTTTCATTAGTTCCTTTGAATTAATTCCTCCTATTTCTACTTTTACTCTTGGATCGAGGTACTAATTTCACAATAACCAAATATCTGGGGAACTTAATAGAATTTCAATGACCTCAAAGATAAAATTTCGTAGTAACTTAAGATGTAAGGGACCTAATAGTAATTTTAGGAAATATTTCCGAAATATTAAAGATTTATTAAGGACCTAACACCGAGAAGAAAAGATGTTGAGCCCTCTTTTGTTTGTTGGGGCGCCCATTTTATTAACGGGTTTTATTAAAGCCCAACTCGACCTGGTAATATAAACGAAACCCAACATCAGCGATCTCTCTCTCTCTCTCTCATGCCGAAACCCTAACACTATTCCGGCGAATGCCTGGCTCCAGTCAGTCTCAGTTCGGGTGGCGGCGGTCTTTGAAGTAGGCATTGCAAGCATCGGTTCGGGGTAAATTTTTATTTTATTTTTTCTGTCTCTCAAATTGATTGCATTTCCTCCAAACTAACAAATATATCAATTCATGAAACCCTAGGGTCAGCAACCCATTTAATCTGAAACTATGCGGATTATATTTTCTTCTGAGGAGATTATGAATTTAATTAATTGATTAATTCGTGAAATTAACCAGACAAATGATAATTTGTCTTGCTAAGCTATTTGGCGAAAGTTGTTATGCCTCTTTTGCTTTTCTATCTGCTGAAAGTTCTCTACGCTTCTTAAAATTTCTATTTTCTGAAATCTCATTAGGCAGATTAGGTTAGTTTCATGCAGTCAGTTTTATTTATTTATTTATTTATTTATTTTCATGGCTAATTGTATTCTCTAAAATTACGGTAGATGAATAGGCAACAACAGGGAGTAGGAAATGTGTTCAGTCTCTGGGAGCAACGCCGACGTTTCGCTGCCGTTTATGTTATATGTCTTGTGGTAAATTGGTTAATGCGACGGAGGATACGTCGTAGGGATCATATTGATCGTCCCATTATGCGGTCAGATGACGAAAGAAAAAAAGCGCGTGAAGAACTCATACACCATGTTAAAACAAGCACAAGAGCGCGTGCACTTGTACGAATGGGTCCAGAAACTTTTAACAATTTGTGTGACATTCTTAGAGCCCACGGTGGTCTTACAAGCACACGTCTATCATCGGTTGAAGAACAAGTTATCACTTTCCTTAACATCTTAGGTGTGAACCAACTTAATCGTACACTCCAATGCTATTTTCGCCGTTCTGGTGAAACTGTGAGTCGACATTTTCATAGAGTGTTAAGGGCAATGATTCTATTGGAAGAAATATTTCTTCAACAACCTGATGGATCTGAAGTCCCTCCAGAAATTGCCAACAATACTAGGTTTTGGCCATATTTTAAGGTAACTATAGCATCCACCCATTCTTAGTGATAGCACTTGAAACCTTTAAACGCTAATTAATATACACTTATGCCAGGATTGTGTTGGAGCCATCGGTGGGACACATATTCGTGTTAAAGTTTCCACTTTGCTCGCATCACGCTATCGAGGTAGGGAGGGTTATCCAACACAAAATGTGCTAGCTGCATGTTCATTTGATATGAAATTTACATATGTCTTAACTGGATGGGAAGGGACTGCATCTGACTTGAGGATAATAGAAAATGCTTTAAGAAGAGAAGATAATCTGAAAATTCCTGAAGGTAATCATTAACTGAAGTTCTTTATTCAAGAATTACTAATATGATTAAGTAATTCTATATAATGATCAACTCATCTTAATAGGTAAATACTATCTTCTTGATTGTGGAATTATGCATCGAAGTGGACTCATGTCACCATATAGAGGTGAACGCTATCACTTGAAAGAATATTCTACTCAACATCCTCAAAATCTTCGAGAATTGTTTAACCTTAGGCATTCATACTTACGCAACACAATCGAGAGATCATTTGGTGTATTGAAGAGAAGATTTCCTATTATAGGCTCAACAGAGCCAAGATACTCTGTTGACACTCAATCTGAGATTATCTTGGCTTGTTGTATCCTCCATAATTACTTGATGGCTGTTGATCCAGATGAAGAATTGATAGCTGCTGTGGATAGTGAGCTTGAGAAACGAACACATGAACTGGATACTAACATTCCTTTGGATGATGATCAAGATGCTCAACAAGCGAGTGTTATTAGGGATCACATAGCAATGAGCATGTGGAATGACTATGTAGCTAATTAAGTTTGTAAGAACTATTTGCCTTCCGTTCATGTGAGGATTTAGCCTTTTTGTGGTAGACTTTGATTGTTGTATTGAATATTTATTCCTTACTTCAGCTGCCGTGATCTTCTTTATTTTATATTTCTGTACTTTCTATGTTTTAATACATTCTCGTATGCATTATCTTGTATAGACATGGGAAAAAGGAATAGTGTGGGCAGTGGTTGGATGGAGAGTTTAGATGAAAGCAAAAGAGATAAGTTACAGTGGACAGAGAAGATGGATGAGTGTCTTATTGATGCACTTTTGCATCAGCAAACCATTGGAAATAGAGTGGATGGAACATGGACTTGTGTTGCTTTATCTAATGTCTCCAAAGAATTGACTGAAAAACTAGAGATGGATATCAACAAAGATAGGGTGAAAAATCGTATGAAAACTATTAAGCAAAACTTCAACAGTTGCTTTGATTTATTCAAAAATTTTAGTGGGTTTGCTTGGTGTCCAACTACAAGTATGTGGATGGCTGAACGTGAAGCTTGGGAGCCTTTGTTAAAGGTATATGTGTCTTTTTGCTTTGTCTTTCTAGTCATTTATATTATGTTTCTTTTGTAAATAATTTGTTGTCTAATTTCCCCCCATGCAGGCAAATCCTAATGCTTCAAAGTTTATGAAGTATCCCTTTCATAACTACGACAAGATGTTGCAATTGTTTGCTAATGATAGAGCTACCGGCGAGGGTGCTATGACAGCTAAGGAGAAGCGCCGACGTCTACAAAACTCAACAAATATGGGTGAGGATGATACTATAACTAATATTGACATTCTCGCTTCTAGGGCTGAGATCTCTGTAGAGGGGTTTCCATGTTTTTATGATGAGATGAAGTATACAATACCTCCTGCACCAGAACAATCTACAACAGCAACTTCTAAGGGCAAAAAGAAGAAAGTTAGGGAGGTTTCTGTTGGAAAGGGAGTGGATAAAGAAGTTATATTGATTAAAGAAGCAATAAACAATATGGCAGAAGCAATTAGAGAGGGGAATGCCATGTACGCTCAATGTCAGTCACTTACCTTCACTAATAGAGATATTCATGATGAATTGGTATTGATTGGTGTAGAAAAGGAAATACGAAACAAAGTCTATCTTTATCTAGTCCAAAATCCTGAGATGAAGGGCGCATTTTTTGGCGTCCCGCGTGAAGAGCGCAAAGATTTGGTGATGGCTATGTTAGGTGTGTAGTAGATGGGCACAAATCTATGCTAAGTATGACTTTCATTTTTGCCTCATGATCCATGAAACTCTTATATGATGGGTAAATTGTGGGTAAATTGTGTGGTGGTTGGTGGTTGCCATCCTTTTATAGTGATTCTGATATTTGGCAATCATTGGCCACCTTTTTTTTTTCTTTTTTCTTTTCCAGCTTTGTAAACTGTTTGCTGTAAAAACTCTAGATTACAACTGGTTATCATTTACAAGTTATGAACTAATGTTTTTTTAATGAATCTGTTAGTTTATCTATTATTTAGTTATTATTCTTTGTATAGAGGTGTAAAGAAATTAAGTCAAAGTTTAGAGATTAAAGGCAAGCATGAAAACCCATTTTTTAAAGGCTGTATGGGGTAATTTTTTATTTTCCTTCTCTGCCCTCCATTATTTGTATTACCGTTTCTTCACAAATGATTTAAGTTGTGTTTGGTTTTAAGTGAACGCAATTTTTGGAGAGTATGGGTCCAAAGTTTACTCTTCATTGTTCAAAAACTCCCTTTTATTTATTTTCTCTGAGAAACCATTTGAGCCCTTTTGGTTTGTGATGTGTATAAAAAAGTTGCGAGGTCTGAATGATGAGGGATCAATTCAGCTACAGGTGGAAATAGGGATGCAAGTAGGTGTCTTTGGGTGATTGGTTCAGGGAAGTCAAGCTCTTAACCTTTCATACGTAATCTACTTTCTATCTCAACCTTGTTTATATCCTTGCATATTTTGTTTTCGACACTTTCAGGTCAAGATCAGTGGATCAGCCTATGTCTCACATTCAGCTGGGATGCAATCTGGAACTAATAACGGGTAAGTATCGTTTTGGTATTCACTCAAAATAACGTATTATTCAGTGTTGTAAAAAGCGGCAAATTGTGCTGCTATAGCGCCGCTAATTGCGGTCGCGGTGCTTCACCGCGCCGACAAAGGGGATAGCGGTGTGTTTTGGCAGAGAAAACCGCCTTTTGCTCGAAAAGCTGTCTAAAGCGCGAAATCGTGGGTTTTAGCGCTAAAAAGCGCTAAACCCATCCCTTAAATCCCTCCCCGAACCCGACCTGAAACTATTAAACATAAACTCATCTCTCTCTCTCTTTGATTCCGGATTGTACCCTGGCCGCCTGTTCTCCCTCTTGTGCCTCTCTCTTTCACGTCCTTCGGCGACGAGTTTCAGCACCGCCTCCGGTCAACACCGTTGGCAGCATCTCACGCACCAGCAGCATCGCTGGCAGCATCTCACGCACCAGCAGCACCTCCGGTCAAGCCCATCTCTCTCTCTCGCACGGTTTCACCTTTCACACACTCTCTCACTTCCTCCGGCGACACCAGAACTTCCCTCCGGCGACACCAAAACTTCCCTCCGGCAACACCAAAACTTTCCTCCGGCGACCAGTAGCAACGACATCTCCATCTCTGTTGGGCTTCGTCTGCAACAGAGAGAAAAAGGTAATAATTTGATTTTTGAAATCAAATGCTTGTTAGTTGTAAATTTCTTGTAATTTACTAATTTAAAATTTACCTATAGTAACTTATAGATGTTAGCACTTAGCAGATTATGATTGTATTCAAACTCCTAATTATGATTATTCAATTATTCATTTACAATTATAGTTTACACGTTTTTTTATTCTTTATAATTATAGTACTTTGTTAATATTATGTAATTATTACACATCTATTTCATGTTTAGGCATCAAATATGCATTTGTAGAATTTTTAGATTTTTTATATGATTTTTCTTATTATTTTAGAATATTTAAATATATTTATATTTGATCGCTATTTGTCTATGAGCTATTTGCCCTATTTTGCCGCAACAGCGCTCCAAATAGCCTTAGCGGTACCTCGCCGCGACGCGACGCTATCCGCTATCAGTAACCTTGATTATTTCTCGTAGGTTTTCACTGAACTTCGAGTTCTTGCTTTCCTACCATCTGCTGTAATTTAGGAAATTTACACAATTACCTTGTGAAATTCATTCTTTGTTGCTGTTGTGATGCAAATTACTTATCTTTTGGTTAGTTGGATTCTATAGTCCTTGATCTGTTAACTGTGAATTCTATCTGTTTTTAGGGTTCCTGATTCTTGACCAGTTATTATTTCATGTTATAAAAAGTCACCAAAGGATATAGTTAGTTCTCATGTTATAAGCATGTTAGAGTCTATGCGCTTGGTTTTTCTGATGAGGAGAATGATGTTCTGATTTATCGTATGACATTAGGAACGAAATAGGTTTTAACTATATACCTACTTAATCTCCCAATTCTGTTGAAAGTGAGGTTTCACAATTCACACTAGAGTATGATACTTGTTGAGCTTAAGGTTGTCTTGTAATCTTGCTTAACTTTGTAAATGACATGTTTGGAGGTAACATGACCAAAAAATATTTGCCTTGATAAGATGTAATTACCTTGGATTTTATTTGGAATTATTTTGGATTTCACCTATATATTCCATTCAGTGACAGTGAGAACACTACTTATAATTCTATGCTTCTTGAGCATGATAATAAGAGGATGAGGGAGTAGATGGCAATGCACGTATGTGCAAAATAATTTTTTATGGAAGTGTGCAAAATAATTAATACTTTGATATAAGCAGATTCATCTCGTAAACTTGGGTTATTATGTAAAAATACAGTACAATTTCTCAAAAATGTCGAGAATCTGAGGTATATACTTATTTGATTTTACTGTAAAACAGCTGTCTTGATTCCCTGCTAATTGTAATTTTATTTTATTTTTGCTTAAAAACATACGTAGATGACTGACACTGCTAAAGTTCTTCGTGCACACAGTAAATATGGTATGGATATAGTTTAGGTTATTAAAGACATGCACCGCTTAGTATTAAGAATTAATAAAGGGTTGCAGAATTTTCTGAAGACATGCTTCGATGGTGAAGCAATTGCTTATTTAGATAAATAGAGGAGTTAGGGTAAAGTCGTACTATAAATATCATTTTATCTTTCTTTTTTTAAATTTAAATTTCTGATGGTGCATTAGACAGTAGAGACGAGACAAAAAGTCAAACAACAAGCTCCTTGAGATTTCATTACAACAGTGGAGATCAGTGCATTTATGCGTGTACCCGAAGATGACGAGGGGAGATGAGTGCAAAAGTGCAGCGTTCCAAAGATGTAGATGCATGTGCTTCCTAAAAGGCAGCTGAGTTTTTTTTTTCAATGTGCAACCTTCTCATTATGATAAGCAGGATGCTTATGTAGCATAAATGGAAGAAGATGATGATGATATTGCTGGTATTGAGGCTATTAAATATGATGATATTGATAGTGTTCTCAAATCGCAGAAGACACAACGCAATATTGATATTATGAAGGTATGCATACATTGGAAACATTTCATTTTCCTATGTCGAGCTATTTCCTGTTTTCACCATTTTTCTGTCTCCAAGTATGTCCTCTGCCAAGCTTGTTTTTTCTTACTATTCCTTTGTAAGAACAGGCTGGAGGTCTGACATATTTCCTCTTTTCGGGGCTGATTTACATTCACGAATTCGAACTTAACTTTCAAAACTATTTGATC